GGTGATTATAGATATTAGGCTTCATGAATTTCATTTTGGGTTCTTCCTACGTGGGTAAAGTTCTTATTTTGTTTATTAATGTTTGACAAAATGAGTAAATAAGAAATAACACATAAAGGTGGTGAGGAGCCTTTTTTCTGATGTGCATCTCGACTGTTACTAGCTGAATGGGTTTGCAAAATATAAATGGCATGCTTGTTTCTAATGAAAAACGTCATATGTTACACTTAATAGTGTTTTCTAATATTCAAATAATCCGTTTGATCCATTGTGGGACAGAAAGGATTGACAATTGTAGCATATTTTCAGTCAGCCAGTGTGGATTTTGACCTGCAAATGCCGAATAATTCTGTCCTTGGCAGGATGATGATCATACTATGATCCCCATGTTTCCGCATAGGTTCATTCATTCATTCATTCATTGTATTCAACTAACTTGAATGGTCATTTCTGCCGGAGGGGATTCTTGAGAGATGCTGCTGACCATGGGATTATGAAGAATCTTTTCACATAGAGTATAAAAGTGTTCTACATCAAGCTGCTGTCGAAACAGGGAAGTGGTCATAACTTGGAAGACTATTTTAGTTGGAGGCTCAGAAGTGTTCGCACTCTTGCGAGGACCAGCGTGCGCAGTTAGTGAAATCCTCGGCAACTCCTCTTGTAAGCGTAGAACATGAAATATGGAGTCAAAGGGGAGTTAATAGGAGGTCTGTAGCTATCAGGACACCCATCGGTGCCCCGGATTTGACTTCTCAAACACATTACAGGGGCACCTGATTTAGGCTATCACAAAGCAATAACTCTTCGATGTCGCTTTATGGTATTTATTGAGGATTATAACATTTATTCAAGTAGTAATGGCATTAATTTCCTCTTTATGTCTGTCTATCTGTTAATATATCTATCTCAATCGCTTCTGAATTTTTTTAAATTGTTACTTTTCTATAGTCATGAATATTACGTGTATGGTTCCACAGAACTTTTAATATGCTAAGGGACCAATTGAAATCGTGAATTTAGAGGTGGTAAGTAATCTTGAGATGGTATTGTTTGTACCCAAGAATGGAGGCCCTTGAAGAGTGGCAGCAGATAGGCAAATGGGGCCATGTAACTTATTCAAGAGCCAAGGTCTCCTCCAAATGTTTTTCTCTAGAAACCTAATAAAAAAATCTGAAAAGGCTTGTTCGCCACTTCCTTTGTTCATACAATCCTTGATCAAGTCTTCAACAGCAAAAAATTATAGACATGAATGTCAACAAATTATGTGCTAACTCGCTGGTAAGCCCATAGTCGAAAGAACAAGTGGGCCACATATTCTTCAAACTTTGGCTTCAAAATTTGAACTAGAAAGAAAAACAATCTTGGTATGTAATAAGGTACTCTCTGGTCTTTAAAAGGATCCACTTGGAACATTGCCCCCCCCTCTCTCTCTCTCTCTCTCTCTTTCTCTCTCGCTTCTCTCTTCAATATTTTGGACTAGGATTCCAAGGGGTTCATTTGAAGTATCTTTTCTTGACTTATCATTGGGCCTTCAAATGCATTGCAACTTATAGAACACAACTCATCATTTATGGCCTCATGTGTGCTGAGCAGTTTTGGATTCGTGAACCATTGATAGATTGCTTTATGCATCTAATATTGTCGCAGCTCACTCATCGCAGGATTTAGTTTATCTGATGACGTGGCTCGCTGAACACTATTGGATGACACCGCACTCCTGATGGCTGCCCTGAAATGCATGAGAAGCTTTAGTCTACATCAAAAATATTTCGACAATTGAGCTGAATATAAATCAAAGTTACGATATGCTAGCAGAAATCTCTTCTCCCAAAATAAAATAATGTCTAGGACTATCTTAGGAGAAGGTAAAAAGGTTGTTCACCCTTGTGCACACATGTGTATACAATGCTCCTTGCTCCATGATTGGTTGGCCATGAGGACATGGTAGGAGAGTGAAGCACACATGTGTGAAGTGAGTCTTTTGTCACTCAAGTCTAGCTTGTGGCTTCCCTAGTTTGAGTCTACCCACTCGACCGCAGCACGCTTCTAAGTCAGCTGCCGAATGCCAACTTGCCAGCATACGATGATATTTTTATCTTTTATTTTTCTAAATAATCAAAAATTATGCTAAATATTTTAACTTTATAATTATAAAATTAATTTTTTTTCTTATATTTATTCTATAAGCTAATCCACAAAAATAAAATAATAAAACTAATTAAAACACAAAAATCTAGCTTTAACATGGTCCCAATAAATACTTTGAATCTTGTCCACGTTGTTAGATGTAGAGTCATAACAATAATGTCCTTAATCTTTTTTCTCTTGGTCACAACTTGGGTGTTCAAGTCAATCTCTAGTAGTAGCTTCTCCATCATGAGGTAATTGATGACTTGGGTTAAGACATTCTCGAACGGAAAGTTGTTGTGGTCAAAGATCTTGATTTGTATCCCCAACCTTTGCTTGCTTGTGGCTAAGTGTGGTAATACCTAGTGACCATCCCCTAGACCTTGTTGTGGGCTAGAGAAGGTATCGGTGTTAAAATTAATCTTAATGTAGACAATTGTATATGAATTATATATTATGAGGTTATGGTTGAGTTAATTGCAGTTAAAATGATTCATAAAAGTTGAAGTATTTGAGATTATAATGTCTATTAAGTAAAGGCATAAATATAAATATTTATAGAGACCAAGTTTTATTCTAATTTTATGATGGACTAAATGAGAAAAAGACATAAAAAGGTAAATCACTTATTATCTGTAAATAGGAGGTCATGGTATTAGGTCACCAATTGAGAGTCACTCTTGGAGTATCTCATCTATCTTTGAGTAAGTTATTAGATAACTCTTCTATATTGATTCAAAAGGCCAACTCCATTTTTAGTGTCTTCATAGGTTTAGGTATGACTTCTAATCCATTATCATTCCATTTATTATTCTGCACTATCTCAACACTAGAGAGGTGGTGGAACATTGCCTCCATCTTTTGTAATAGCTAGGAGAGCTTTGGCTCAAAGACAAAGTTTAAGAATAGGGCTACATCATAGTAAACTTTCAGCCTCACCAAGAGCCAAGGGACTCATTGTAAGGCCCTTTGGTCCTTCTCAAAGAAGAAATAAACATCCTCCTACGTGAAGTCACCATCTACGTGTAGATGGACGATAGAGGATAGACAATACCCTTGTCTTTCACCAGATTGTTGTAACACAGTAGATAAGTCTTTATTATCATGAGTTAATAATTAGTAAATAATATAGTTTTAGCCTTAACTCATGATAAATAGATTTATATTTATGTTAAAGTGTGAAAAGTGGTTTTCAGTTGATTAATGTGAATTTTTGGGTAATTATGTGATTTTATACAAATTTATATGATTTTTATAGTCTTACTTTTGAGATAAATGAAGAAAAATAAATAAAATAAAATAAAATAAATAAAATGAGGGGGACCCGCCGACTAGTTGGGTCCACAAGCGGGTTAGAAGTGCAGTCGGAGAGTAGCCGCGAGCAGGGGCTTGAGTGGTTGGGACCGATAGGGGCACGTGTGCACCACTCCCCTTCCACATCATCGGTGGCTAGCCGACTATGAGGCAAAGAGTGATCGTACATGCGCGAGAAAGGGACTTGCTTTCAAATGTAATATTACTATATATTCGCCTGAAACTTCAGTACACAAGCAATGTGGGATTAAACTCACGTCACACCTTCCTTAGAAAAGGGCAAGCAACTGACACAGGTTCAAATCCTCCCGAAGCCAAAACTCATATTTTTATCTAATTATCGTGACTTTCTTGCAGATCATCGGTGAAAGATTAAGCAACTAGAATCGTTGGATCATCGGCAAAAATCTCGTCAAATGCAATTCGCAGAGTATTGTTACTAAAATTGTTGAACGATTCGCGATAAAAGGATTGTGAATCCATTGAGTAGAGCATCTTTGATTGATCGACGAACAAGCTATTGTCGGAAAGAAGACGATCCGCCGGGAGATGAGTCGCCACCTCCTAAGAGCATATCGGATGCGATGAAGAGCCTCCTCTTGTTGTGCGGACCTGAGGATGAAGCTCGCTGACATGTGCCCCACCTCCATCCAGCTCCTCTCCGTCGGGTGACAGCTGCCAAAGAGCCGCAAAGTCACCGTTTTTCCACTCCGCCGGGTGATAGTTGCTAGAGAGTTGCAAAGTCGCCATTTTTTGCTCCGTCGGGTGACAGCCATTAGAAATGATTCAATGACCCATTTCATTGATCTCTAGACTTTACAAAGAGATCTAGAGATTGCCCACGTCATCTTTATCTAAGGAGAGTCTTTAAGGCTGTGGACACTGCATGACGATCCTCCTGAATGCTTAGGATTCCAGTGCATTGCCGATGCATTGCCGCCGCGACGTTGGAACTCTGTTTTCTTGCTTTCAACTTAATTTTCAATTCATTTAGTGATACTTTGTGTGATTTAAATTTACCAAGATATACTTCATTCAATTAGGATTCTTCTAATTTTTACAGATCTTAATTTGATCATTTAAATCGTCTGTAATCGCTTATGTAAGAATCGCCAAGTGGAACTCTATTTTCACCCGATTTGCATTCGCTAGGCACTGATGTCATCCTGACATCCGCATCCTTAATTTCCTTTTTCGTGAATTTTAAATATATTTTCTTTTCATTTTCTAGTATAAAATTTATAGAAAATAGTATTATTTGAGGAAAATTCTGAATAATTACTAGATATTATATAACATTCTTGTGATCAACTTGAAAAATTATTGCTATTTTTGGAAGTTTTATTGAATTATACTTGATATATTTGTTCAGAAATACTTCTAAATATCTAAAAATTCAAAATTTCTAGTTTTATTAATTTTAAATTTACGTGATTTACTATATAATGACTAAGTCACATCAACAATGTCCCATCAATTGAAGTAAAAGTTTTTTTATGGGAAGACCTTGAGAATCAGTGAGGAAGCCTCTGGCAAAGGTTTACAAAAGAGCTTAGAGAAATCCCTCCCCCTATCGATGAGGAAGACATTGTTTGTGACCAGGACATAGAGGTATAATGATGCGAGAGACATTATTTTGTTTTCTTGGCTAGAGAAGGGCATCCACAAGAGGTACTTACACTCTTCTACTTTTCTAGTGGCATTGTAGCCTATTAGGAGCTGCATGGTTTTCTTGTGGGTGCCAATTTGAGGTGCACATGTTTGGTGTTGATCCTCGTACTAGTAGAGCTTTTGCATGAGGTAAGCTGAAGGTTTGTAGGGGGATGGGTGGCAGTAGTTGACCGTCTCATACCTACTTTAACAAGAGTCCTCGTCAATGTCAAAAGTGAGACAGCCACTGAGGTACTTGTTTCTTGGTACATCAAAGCCCCCAATAGAGGTTCCTACTCTGAAACCTACCACCAGCCACATAATCTGAAATTACCTACGGATGAGAAAAGATTGATTAAAATTAGTCATTTTCCATAAAGTTAACACTCAAATGCTCTTGTTTGAAGAGGTGTTGTGTCATATCACTACATGCCAAAGACTGAATGATGTAGAGAGAGAGGGAGAGAGAGAGAGAGAGAGAGAGAGATATTGGGTACTATAGAATTATAAATAGAAAAAGGGAAACTAAACATGTGTTACAGAAGTAGAAAGTGTTATCATAGTAAAATTGATGGCATGCTTTTAAGAAGAAAATAAGAGATAGATGGACATAGATCAATATGCATATGTGTCAAGTATTTACAAGGGGAAATTACAATCACACAGATAGAAGGGGATGAGTAATAAATTATATTTAGGTCAATACTAATAGATAGATATGTGAGTTTAAATCAAGGTAAACATATGTACATCTATACATGTGTGTAGAGAGATAGAGATAGAGAGAGAGAGAGAATGAGAACAAGTGTTGAGATGATTTCCTTGATTAAATTAAGATCTGTAAAAGCTAGAAGAATCATAATTGAATGAAATATAGCTTGGTAAATTTAAATCACATAAATTATCACTAAATGAAGTAGAAATTAAGTTGAAGGCAAGAAAACAGAGTTCCGACGTAACGACAACAATACGTCGGTGATGCATTAGAATCTTAAGTGTTCGGGAGGATCGTCATATAGTGTCTATGGCCTCGAAGGCTCTCTTTGGACAAGGACGATGTGAGTAATCTCCAGATCTCCTTGTGAAGTCTAGAGATCAATAAAATGGGTCGTTGAATCGTCTCTGGTGGTTGTTACTCGGCAGAGTAGAAAAATGATGACTTTGCAGCTCTCTAGTGGCTGTCACCCAATAGAGAGGAGCAAGATAGAGGTGGGGCACATGTCAAGGAGCTTCATCCTTAGGTCTATGTAATAAAAGGAGGCTCTTCAGTACATTCGGTATGCTCTTAAGGGGTGGCGACTCGTCTCTTGACAAATCGTCCTCTTTCCAATGATGGCTTATTTGTCGATCAATTAGAGATGATTTACTCAATGGATTCATGATCCTTTTATCGTAAATTTTTCAATAATTTTAGTAACAATTCTCTGCGAATCACATTGATGAGATTTTTGCCGATGATCTAGTGATTTTGGCAGCTTAATCTTTCACTGATGATCTGCAAAATAGTCGCGATAATCAAATAAAAATACAAGTTTTGGCTCTAGGAGGATTTGAACCTATGCCAGTTGCTTGTGTGCATAAGAGAGATTGAAATAAATACTCTAATGCCCTTATCAAGTGATATCATCATGGTATATCTCTATTATAACTAAAGAGTAGTTTAAGTATTAAAATCTTTGAAGTCTTTCAAGAGAAGGTGTGACATGGGTTTAGTCTCACATTGTTTGTGCACCAAAGTTTTGAGAGAATAAATAGTCATATCACATTTACAAGTAATGAGTTCTTTTCTCCTACATGTACGATCACTCTTTGTCTCACAGTTAGCTGACCACTAGTGACGTGAAAAGGGAGTGGCACACACATGCCCCCATTAGTCCTTATTGCTCAAGCCTCTGCTCATGGCTCCCCTTAACTACGCTTCCGACCCGCTTGCGAGCCCGATTGGCTGGTGGGTTCCTCCTTTTTGCTATATTTTAATTTTAATTTTTTTCTTCATTTATGTAAAAAATAGGACTATAAAAATCATATAAATTCATATAAATTCATATAATCAGGAAAAAATTCATATTAATCAACTGAAAACTATTTTTCACAATTTAACACAAATATAAGTTTATTTATCATGAGTTAAGGTTAAAACTATATTATTTACTAATTATTAACTCTTGATAATGAAAACTTTTCAAGTTCTCACAGGGGGTTAGAAGAATTATATGAACTATCATATTGAAACCCGAAGTTATAATAACATTTATATGGCACACTCCATAAATATGTCATTTATTTTTTAAATACCTCTTAACATTTTATATTGTATTATATCTAATGAGTTAGTTAAAGTCAATCAATGGAGTTTGACTCCAACAATCTCCAACTTGACTTTATCTAACCTTATTTATATTAGATAGTTATGTTGAGTGACCACAATTTCAAATTCTTAAGAATAATAGCTTTCTTTGATAATAACATCTCTCATAAATACTAGTAAAGAATGATATATCACTAAATATGTATGTCATTTCTATATATTAAAATACTCATGCTTAATGTTAAAATCAAACAACTTATGTGGTATAAAACTTTATGAATAAACTCATAATGTTTTGACAAAAAATCATGACTTTTATTCCATTTATTTATCTAATGATAAATGATGGTTCATTATGAACTGACACACAAAAATCAAACTAAAAGTGATATCACATAATACATCAATGTATAAATAAAACTTAAGACACATTATGAAAGGAACTAATTAAACCTATATTACAAACATGTCCACTATAGGTACTAGGTGGAGGTGACTTTGTAAGAGGGTCAACTAGTATAAAATTAGTCTCAATGTGCTCAATAGACAATAATTGATCTCTTATTCTCTCCTTCACAACTAAGAACTTGACCTCTATGTACTTACATGCACTTGAACTCTTGATGTTGTTGAAGAACTTAACTACAACTTCATTATCACAATATAGTCATTTGGGCTTCTATTTAAAGTCCACAACTCTTGATGTGCAATGAAGTTCTTTATCTCTTTAACTTGTGAAGATGTGTGAAAACAAGTTACATAGCTTCCATTATAAATGTTGCTGGTGTCTTTTACTTTAGTACTAGATCATAAAACAATTCCACTAACAAGTGTGAAATTATAGTTGGATGTAGACTTTTAAACAGCTAAACATCCAACAAAGTTTGAGGTAGAGAATCCAATGACCTCTAATTAATTTGTTGACCTATATATGCACATTAGATCTTTTGTTCCTTGTAAATATTGCATAACCTTCTTTGTAACTTGTTAATGTGTGATTCTTATATCACTTTGATATCTTCTTATGTATCTAGTTACAAATGTTCAATCAAGTTTACATATTTGTGTATAGTTGAGAGAACCAATTACATCAAAGGTTTTTCCTTCATTGGAAGTCTCTCTACATCCGAATGAGGACCTTGCAACTTAGTTTGTCTCTTTTGACAATAAGGGCTTTACTAGGAGAACAATTTTTCTTTGAAACTTCTTCAACACATTTGATATGTCAAAAAAACCTTTGAGACAGCTCAAACATGCCTAAGGACCTATCAAGTGAATCTTTATTCTAATTACATAATGAGCTTCACCCATGTCTTTCATATCAAAGTTTTCAAATAGTAAATACTTGATTTCCTTTAACAAATTATGTTTTGAACTAGTAAGTAGAATATCATTGACACATAGCACAAGCAATATCCATTCGCTCCCACTTTACTTTACGTATATATATTGACTAAAAATATTTTTTTGAAACCTAAAGTTCATGATAACTTCATTAAATTTGAAGTACAATTATCTTGAAACCTACTTTTGTTTATACATAGATTTCTTCAACTTACAAATCATAGGTTTTTTACATTTAACCTCAAATTTTTAAGGTTACTTGACATGGTTTAATTGTTGTATATTAAATCATAAAAATTTAAAAATTTTAAAACTAGAAAATATCAATTTTTAGATTTTTAAAAGTATTTCAGATTAAAATATCTTAATTATAATTTGATAAAAGGTATAAAAATAGTGATAATTTTTCAAGTCTATCACAAAGATATATTAGAGAATCTTTTACAATTTTTCTCAAAGAATACTATTTTTTATAATTTTTGGACTAAATGATCAAGATAA